GGAAACAAACTAAATTTGCAGTTCTTTATACTACTGCTACCAATGAAAGTGTACATTTAATTAACATAAAACAAAGGAATAATTATTATTGGACATAGATTCTCATTGCAGACATTAGAACTAACATTTGTTTTACTTGTTTTTAAACAACACAAAGGAAGCACTTGCCACGTTTATATGAATTCAATACTTTGTACTCAAGGAAACAATTCTAAAATAAAAAGAAAACTAAAGGTGGAAGATAATTTTTAGATGGTGAAAAGCCACTCTAGAATTTTTTTTAAAAGTGTGTTTTATAGATTGAGAAGCTCACTCTCTCATAACTTGCTAGTAACAGAGTTAAGACTGGAACCAGCTCTTACCTGTAATCAAGTTCTCTGTCCACCACGTCACAGAGTCATCATACTATGAGACTGCATAATCAGAACATTTATGTTGTAATGATGAGTATAAAAAGTAGCTATAACCAAGGACAGCCCAAAATGGTAAACCATCTCTCTGCCACTAATTTTTTAAAGCAATCCAGGGAAGGATTCTGCCTTACTTCATACTAGATCACTTTGGAATTATTAAAACAAAGCCTGAACAAATACACAATTAAATAATTCCCCCCAAAATGTAACAATAGTTATAATGACTATGTTAGACTGTATTTCAGAAATACATTCTCTAGTATTATACAAGATGAAGGAACCTATTTTGAATTCAAGACTGTTTTTGTCTTTTAGTTTAACATTATTAAAACTGAGTCTAAGCCATTAGCTTAATTGATTAATAGTCAATTATGTTCCAGTAGTTGGTAACCAAGACAGTTACTTGACTTCATGTACCAAATACTCAGTTAACTGAGTATTTGCATCTTTTTAAAGATGGAAAAAGAAGAAAAATCACTTTTTTAATGGTGAGAAAATAAATACTCTTAAATATTTTTAATAATTTGAAATTAATGGAAATAATATTAGACTTAAAAGTAGAAGGTGAGTTTGAATCCAAGTTCTAATGCCTTCAGCTACACAACTTCTGCTAGGCTATTTAATCATTTATAAAATGAAAACAGTATTACCTGGCTTCTATTTCTATAACACAGGAAGTTTAAGGGAGTAACAGAATAATATATTTTGATTTGTCTTATAAATCAAGACATATTATATTTGGTTTGGAGGCTACAAGAGTTGGTATAAAAGAAAAAAATTTTATCAATCCATCATGAATTACTGTGTACAGACTGTGTTTCCCTGTGCCTCTCTGCTTTCCTAACCTTTCAAACCCTGCTTGTTTAACAAATCTTCTTCTCTGGCTACCAGTTAGATCCAGCCAAGAACACTGCAAGAACACTGTGAATGACAGAGTTCAATAAAGCAATCCACAACACTTCTTGACAAACTGTTATCAACAATTCTTCATCAATCTTCGATGCTAATTTTGTGAGAGATCAAGAAACCAATACATAGGATAATGGAACAATTATCATGAAAGCTGTGCAGAATACAGTGAAACCAAATGACAGTCAGAAGCTATATCCCAGGGAAATAAAGCTACCTGAATTTCTGTTTCTCTACTGAACTAGAAGTCCAGCTGCAGAGGTCAGCATTTGAAGAAAATAAACAGCAACATGCATTCCACAGTGCTGGTACCATAGTCACTTGTATTCCTATGAGAAACGTTTTTTTGTTAGGCCTAATTTTTATTTTACATTATTTTACCTGTTTGAATGTGATATAGAAAGCAGAAAAAGTTGGATCATCAAAAAGGCAAGAGTTCCAGAAAAATGTCTGCTTCTGCTTTATTGATTACACCAAAGGTTTGACTGTGTGGATGGATCACAACAAACTGTGGAAAATTCTTAAAGAAATGGGAATAGCAGACCACTTGACCTTCCTCCTGAGAAATCTGTATACAAGTAAAGAAGCAACAGTTAGAACTGGACATGGAACAACAGACAGGTTCTAAATTGGGAAAGGAGTATGTCAGGGTTGTATATTATCGCCCTCCTTATTTAACTTATAGGCAGAGTACATCATGTGAAATGTCAGGCTGGATGAAGCAAAAGCTGGAATAAAGATTGCTGGGAGAAATAGCAATAACCTCAGTGGCAACCCACTCCAGTGTCCTTGCCTGGAGAATCCCAGGGACATGGGAGCCTGGTGAGCTGCCGTCTATGGGGTTGCAGAGAATCGGACATGACTGAAGTAACTTAGCAGCAGCAGCAGCAGCAGCAGATATGCAGATGACACCACCTTATGGCAGAAAGTGAAGAAAAACTAAAGAGCCTCTTGATGAAAGCGAAAGAGGAGAGTGAAAATGCTGGCTTAAAACTCAATATTCAGAAAACTAAGATCATAGCATCCGGTCTCATCATTTCATGACAAATAGATGGGGGAAAAAATGGAAACAGCGAGAGACTTTATTTTGGGGACTCCAAAATCACTGCAGATGGTGATTGTGGCCATGAAATTAAGAGATGCTTGATCCTTGGAAGAACAGCTATGACCAACCTAGTTAGCATATTAAAAAGCACAGACATTACTTTGCCAACAAAGGTCTATCTAGTCAAAGCTGTGGTTTTTCCAGTAGTCATGCATGGACGTGAGAGCTGGACTATAAAAAAAGCTGAGTGCCAAAGAAGTGATGCTTTGAACTGTGGTGTTGGTGAAGACTCTTGAAAGTCCCTTGGAGGGCAAGGAGATCAAACCAGTCCATCCAAAATGGAAATCAGTCCTGAATATTCAATGGAAGGACTGATGCTAAAGCTGAAGCTCCAATACTTTGGCCACCTGACGCAAAGAACTGACTCACTGGAAAAGACCCTGACGCTGAGAAGGACTGAAGGCAGGAGGAGAAGGGGACAACAGAGGATGAGATGGTTGGATGGCATCACTGACTTGATGGACATGAGTCTGAGTAAGCTCCAGGAATCGGTGATGGACAGGAAAGCCTAGCGTGCTGCAGTCCTTGGGATGGGAAAGAGTCAGACACGACTGAGCGACTGAACTAGAAAACAGACGATCATAACAGGTAATGATATTTTGAGAAAATAATTATATCAGCACCTACACTATTCCCTGATTTTGGATATTGTGTAGCATTTCCATATCACTAGAATATAGCAAGTCAAATAAATTAGAAAAAGAATATAGACTTTATAGTGCTTCATACATAAGAGCTGTTACTGATGTGGACAGTGTCAAGTCACAGTTCTATGTTTGATATTATTTTGTTAAAATTATCCTAAATCTCAAACTAAAATCCAACATACATCTTTAAGACAGGATCCAGAATCTGGTCCTGATACCTATTTATTAAAAATTTACTCCCTTGGTTGGGGTAGGTAATGTTGTATTTCAATATAACTCTGTAAACAAAGAGTTAAAATAACTTCTCAACTCAAGTAAATGAATTCTAAGGAATAACCTCCAAATTAAGCCAACCTAAATCATTAATAATAATAGATTTGGGGACTTCCCTAGTGGTCCAGTAGCTAAGACTCTATGCTTCCAGTATAGGGTGCCTGGGCTGGATCCCTGGTTAGGGAGCTAAATCCCACATGCCACAACTAAGAATGAGATAGCCAAATAAACTTAAAAACATAATAATAACAAATAATAATAGATTTCATCTGCTTTTCTATTTAAAAAGGTAGTATGGAATTATATGGAACAGAAATTTACAATCTAGTCTGTAAAAGGCAACTCTAGGAACAGAAGAGTTCCATCTACAAAAAATCTTTTAAGTCTGAACTGTATTAGGGATTCTGAAAGCTTTTCAAATGAATTTAAGTTAATGGCTCATAATTACGACCTTAATATAATGATTCATACCACTGACTTATCATTTTTCTTTTCATGTAAATATATTACCTTACAATTCATGAAGTGACAAGTATTGAAATAGCCACTAGGCAAATTTTAAACTTAAATTACATACATAAATTAGAAAAGTGACTCAAGATTGGATTACTGGGCCACAAATATAACTGATGAAATGAAGAAGGCCAAGTGTTGCAATTTTGATATAAATATTTAAGTCTATATTTTTATATGAGAGCAAAGAAAATTCATTAAAATTTTAATATTATAACTAATTTTTCTTTGCATATATCTTTATTTTTATCACTTTATATTAAATTTTAAAACAAGAACATATCCTGAAGTTTAACTGAGTTTTAAATCACAAGGATTAACTAATTTATATCTATGAACAGTGACAAACATTTGGTAGAAAAAATAATATATAATCTTTTAGTTCCATGTGCAAGAGATGTAACTTTTGATTCTGGTGCTGTTTAATTTTTTTATGTAGTTCCTATGATATTTGTTTACATAAGTATAAATTGGTTCATCTGATTTAAATTCCTTGGCCATGAAATTGTGCTTTTAATAAATTTATATAATAAAAAAATAATTCGTCATATCCAAATAGTTTCTGCATGATTGGCATTAAAGCTTTTACTGCTGGTATTTAATGAGCACTTTGGATTAGATGTGTCAGAAGCACCTTGCAATTAAACAACAAAAAATAAGAGTTGGTAGTATGTTAAAATACTTAAGATTTTACTTCCCGAAGAGTTATCTGAAAACTTATATAATAAATCTAGTTCTAGCACCAAGTAGAAAGGAAAGTGAGACACAAATGGAGTTTCTTACCCTTCGTAGGTGAACGTCATCCTCCCTGCCTAGGGCCACCTGTGCTTTTGGCTGGCTTGAGATGCTCAGGGCTTCTCCACACATCTCAGGCGTGCTGTTTCTTCATCAAAGAAAGTACTTTTTTTCCCCCCCATACATAATGAAATTTCATTAAATTCCTCTTGGTGTCACAGTACTCTGCCAAGTGAGACATTTTTAAAAGGGAAGGGGGTCACTGTCCATCCGCTAGGGTTCTCATCACAGTTGATGAAGGTTCTCCTCAAACTCCTCCCCCAGCCCTTGGCTCTGCAAGTCGCGAACAAAGTTCCGGCCAACCCGTGACTGCGCATGCGGACCCGGCGGCGGGATTCCCAGCGCATGCGGTCCCGGCAGCGCTTGCGGTCCCGGCAGCGCTTGCGGTCCCGGCAGCGCTTGCGGTCCCGGCAGCGCTTGCGGTCCCAGCGGCGGGGTTCACAGCACATGCGGACCCGGCGGCGGGATTCCCAGCGCATGCTGGAGCCGTCGCTACGGCGGCTTGTGGCATGGAAATTCATTTTTTATAAAAAGGGAAAGGGACTAGAATGTAGACATTGTATCCGTCGGCTTGCATATGTTACCTCATTACTTAGAGTGAAGAAGAAAATTTTCACTCTTGGATCTATTTATTCTCAATTCTGGGGCTTCCCAGATGCATGGAAATTCATTTTTTATAAAAAGGGAAAGGGACTAGAATGTAGACATTGTATCCGTCGGCTTGCATATGTTACCTAATTACTTAGAGTGAAGAAGAAAATTTTCACTTCTGGATCTATTTATTCTCAATTTTGGGGCTTCCCAGATGGCTCGAGTGGGTAAAGAATCTGCCTGCAGTGCAGGAAGTGCAGGAAATGCCCGCTGGATCCCTCGGTCGGGAAGATCCCCGGGAGGAGGGCAGGACAGCCCACTCCAGTAGTCTTGCCTGGAGAATTCCAGGGACAGAGGGGCCTGACAGGCTACAGTCCATGGGGTTGCAAAGAGTCCTAAACGACTGAGGTGACTGACCACATTCTCAAATTCTTAGGGCAATTAAAAAAAAAAAAAAAAGACTCTACTTCTTCAGTCTTTATTTTCAGTAATAAACTTGGGCGACCTATTTATTTACTCATTTAGTAATCATTTAGTGAGGGCCTGTTCCAAAGTATACATTTTTTTTTTTTTAAACAAAATACGATTTGAGAAGTAGAAATTCATTCAGTGTGATGGTGGGTCTGCAATCGGCAAAAGCCTGCCTGCCGTACTAACCTTTGGGCAAATCCATTGAGAGCTCTGTTTCCTGTCAGACTCCTTGCAATCCCCAGGACTGGAGTGCGCCACATTCCTCTGCCCCTGGGATTTTCCAGGCGAGAATACTAGCATGGGTTCCCATTTCCTATTCCAGGGGATCTTCCCAACCCAGGGATCCAGGCATCCTCGCTTGAGTCTCTTACATTGGCCGGCGGGTTCTTTACTCCTGAGCTACCTGGGACCCTCCATTGAAGGTTGGCGTGGGCTGTGTTTAGGAGCAAGGGGTGCAAGCCAGGAAGAGCCCAGCCACAGTCCAGGCAGTTAGTTTATTGGCCTGAGGATGGGGAGAGAGTCTTGGCAGATGTTCATTGTTCAGGAGCTAAGTTTCTGTCTTCTGTAAATCGGGAATTTACGTAAAATTAATCTCAGTTCTTAAGGTTCCTTTTTCTGAGAGCACATGCCTCAGATTCTCCATTTCCTATCATCTGTTTCCATTTTAGATTGAAATCCTTTCACTCTGTTCGAGTAGAGTATTTGCAGGCACAGAAAGGTATGCAAGTTTCCATTTGCTGACATGGACCCTGGGCAGGAACACCTCCCTCTTGGACCTAGAAAGTTACTTTAACACTGGAATTGTAAGTAAAAGACATACTTGAGGCTTGAATGGCTGGATTTGCCAGTAGCATAAAACATTCTCCCACAGTGTCTTCTGCATGTGAAACTGCAAAAATAATTTCTTTCTCCCAGTTGGTGAAACATTTCAACATCTAAAGGGTGCTTACTGCCGACCCTCTCACCCCTCCAAGTATAATAGTAATGATATGGATCAAGGGCATTATGAGGTCATAGTCCTGGGGGATAGATGGCTTCAGGTTGAAGTGAAAGAGTAATTCCTTTTAAATTCACATAATGAGCTCAATTTGGATTCCCTCCGTTTTTTGTTTTTTCCTTTTGACTGCCACTGCTGCAAGCAAGGGAAGTAAGCCTTGCTCACATACTACCCAGGAAGTGGAAGTGACACCTGTCTGGATTCCCTCTTGTGAACTTTGTTTGAAGACTGTCCTTTATAGCTGGGTGTATGTGCTAAATCACTTCAGCAGTGTCCCACTCTTTGCAACTCTATGGCCCCACTGGGCCTAGTAGCCTATTAGGCTCCTCTGTCCATGGGATTCTCCAGGCAAGAATACTGAGTGGCTTGCCATGCCTTCCTCCAGGGGATCTTCCCCTTCCCCTTCCCCCATGGGGATCAAACCCATATCTTTTATGTCTCCTGCATTGGCAGGCAAATCCTTTACCACTAGAGCCACCTGGGAAGCCCCCTTTATAACTGGTAAAATAATAACAATAATTATTATTGATCATTATTTATTAATTTGAGTTGTTTATATTCATTTTATTTAACTTTCACTAGAAAATGATAGTAGTATTATTTTTGCATTTGAGAATGATTGCCTCCCTAAATTGAATATTTACTATAGGCTAAGAACTGAGAACTTTACATGTGTTGAGTGTATCTTTGAAATAAGTCTAGGAGAAGGTACTATTGTTATTTTCAATGCAGTTAAAAATGCACTTAAAGCAGTGTTTCATAGTAGTCATGAAAAATGTGGACTCTGGACCCAGACTAGGTCTCAAAATAGTTTCTATGTCACAAGTTATGGACCTCAGCAAGGTACTAATAGTTTAGCTGCCTTTTCTTTAGGTTTTTCATTTGTAAAATGAAGTAAAATTAATCACCCTTTTCCCCATTGTTTTGTGCATTAAATGAGTGTCGATAGAACACTTTATACAATGGTTGCCATAAATGCAACAATGGTTTACAAAGAAGAAACTGAAGATCAGAAGGGTAAACAGCATTCTGATACTCAAGCAGGTAGCAGAATTGGCCTTAGAATCCAAATATCTCCATCTTCAAAGTGATTCTAGCAACTATTTAGCTGTGATGTTTTGTGATTTGAAGGCTTTTCCAGTTCTGAGAAGGCCTGAGGTTAAATGAATGTGCCCCAACCTTGTCCTAGACCTCAGTGGAAAAAAAAATTAATTTTTCCGTGAGATCAGAATTAGAGTATGGACTTGGAGGAAAGAGACCAAAGACTCAAGTCAGACTGTTAAAAAGAATCATCATAGCCCACTACTGTCCATCTCACATCGATGCAGTAGGAATAAGAGCTTTTCATTGGAGTTCAGGGTGAAAAAAATTATGTAACTTGAATTATTATCTTCAAATACCTTTTGCATATCACTCTTTGAAACCAAATGTGGCATTTTGTGGTAGGTTGATTACTTAGGAATTTAGAATCCTGTTAAACTTCTTCTTTCTAGTGATACAAATGATAGATGATTATAATATTAATATAACAGGTCCATCAAAGTGTATAATTCATGTGATTTGGGGATCAATGTAGGTTTATTGAAAAAAGAAAAAAGAAACAAGGAAAAAAGGGAATATAAAAAAGGAAGGGAGGAAAAAGGAAAAAAGGCAAAGACAATGAATATATTTCTACACAAGGTAGAGAAACTTGGATTTGGGATTATCATATTATTCAATGCAATTATACTCCATCAAACTGAACTATTTTTCATTTCTTATATAGTAAGAAATTAAAAATATATATAATTCATGTACTCCCACACGTCCCTATTATAGCCCATTTGTCTAGCCTGGAATAATCTTTCCTTTTACACATAGGCAATCTATTCACCATCTATGACCGCCAGTCTAAGCTCCTTGAGGGTGTCAACTGTGTTATCGTCTAGGTGTTCTTAATACCTAATAAATGACTGGCGAATAGAAGAAGTATAATGATCATTTATCTAATGAGTGCTTAGTTCAAGTACCATTACCTCTTTGAATTATATTCTAGAACTTCAAATTGAAATGAACTTAGTTTCTACTGCATTTTTTCCACTTATTTATTTAGATACATTATAAACAGTATTTTATGTTATTCATTTTAAGTTGCAGCTCCAGGAGGGATATGAACATATACATACCCACTTAATCACAAATCAAAATATAGAACATTTTTATTACCTCCTAAATTTCTCTTAGGTGCCTTCCCAATCTGTGTGTTTTCCAGGGCTATTGGGGCCACTATGAGAAAAACAGGAGAGACTCCATCTTGAAGCCTGTCATCCACAGGATGTGAACTGGGCCTGAACTCGCCCAAGAATGAGGACACTATTGCTAAGGAAAACCAGGTCTCCTGGAGACTTGGTAGATGGCAAATGGAGATTGTAGTTGAGGTCAGGCTGCCCCTGACCTTAGATTAACCATGGAGACATCACTCCCATTGTGTAGAATCTTTGTTCCCCCCTTAACCTTAATTATTTGTTCTCCTAGCACCTGCTTGTTGTAAAACTCAATTATATACATCAAAGAGGTTGCTAACATGCAACTGGTCACTTGGTGAGGGATATAAAACTAAGTCTCTCAGAAACATCAATGTCCTTGTTGGGAACCAATCTGCCTTGGACCCGCTGGCATAATAAACTGTACTCCACACTCCAAGGAGTGTTTTGCGACTCTGGATTCCACAACAGGGCAACCACTATTCTACCTGATTACTCTCACCAAATCTTGAACTTCATATAACTCAAATCATTCAGTAGGTCCCCTTTAGGCTTGCTTTTTTTTTTTCCCCATTCACTGTAAAATCTGTGAAATTTATCCACGTATAGCTAGAGTTAGCAAATATTTCCAGTATTTCAAAGTGATTGTACCTATTTACACTGCCAGAGTGAGTTCAGAGTGAGGCAATGTTCCAGTTTCTCCACAAGCTTGACAAAAACTTGGTATTATTTGTCTTTTTTAATTTCCCAATATAAGTGTATGTAGTGCTATCTCATTTTGGTTTAATTTGCAGGTTTCTGGTGATTAACATTTAGGAAGTCTTTTTCATTTGCTATATTTTTTTGGATAACTTTTCTTGTGAATTCAACTGTGTGTGTTTTAATATGATGGTTTATCTCTCTTATTGATTGGTAGTAGTTCCTTATATATTCCTGATGTATTTGTCAGACATTTTTTCTTCCTATCCATGTTTTGCAATTCCCTCTTTCTGTTGTGTCACTTTATAAAAAGAAATTTGGTGGGTTTTTTAAAGTCCAGATTATCCTTTGTCTTCCTTATATGGTTAGTGCTTTTTTTTTTATTCTACTAAAGAAATCTGTGTCAATAATAAAGTTAGAAAGACAGTCTCCTATGTTTTCTCCTTATGGCTTTATTGATTTTTTTTTTCATTCAGGACCATGATTCATCTTGAATTGATTTTTGTGTATGATGTGAGGCAGAGGTCAAAAGCCATTTTTCCATATGGATATCCAACT